TATCAAACACGCTCATGCATACCTGCTGGAAGTCCAAGCCCCTCGCACACAAAACCTCCTTTACCTCCTCTCTCCAACCTTTCCTAGGCCGACCCCTTCCCCGCCTTCCTTCCACTACAGACTGATACACTCTTGAAGTCATTCTGTTTCGCTCCATTCTCTCTACATGTCCGAACCACCTCAACAACCCTTCCTCAGCCCTCTGGACAACAGTTTTGGTAATAAGCACCTCCTCCTAACTTCCAAACTACGAATTCTCTGCATTATATTCACACCACACATTGCCCTCAGACATGACATCTCCACTGCCTCCAGCCTTCTCCTCGCTGCAACATTCATCACCCATGCTTCACACCCATATAAGAGCTTTGGTAAAAACTATACTCTCATACATTCCCCTCTTTGCCCCCAAGACAAAGTTCTTTGTCTCCACAGACTCCTAAGTGCACCACTCACTCTTTTTCCTCATCATTCTATGATTCACCTCATCTTTCATAGACCCATCCGCTGACACGTCCACTCCCAAATATCTGAATACATTCACCTCCTCCATACTCTCTCCCTCCAATCTGATATTCAATCTTTCATCACCTAATCTTTTTGTTATCCTCATAACCTTACTCTTTCCTGTATTCACCTTTAATTTTCTTCTTTTGCACACCCTACCAAATTCATCCACCAATCTCTGCAACTTCTCTTCAGAATCTCCCAAGAGCACAGTGTCATCAGCAAAGAGCAGCTGTAAACGGTCCAAGCAGATCTACGTGCATATGCGTAGTGCTCCAAAAGTAGATCTACATTTTTTTACATATTTTCAAATATAACAAAAAAAAAAGTAGATCAAAGTTTTTTTACACATTTTCAAATGTAAAAAAACAAAAAGATCTACTTTTTATACATACTTTCAAATGTTGAAAAAACGTATATATACGTTTGAACCGTTTACGGGTTAAGATGAAATAAAGATTTATTAAGAAGTTAACCACTCTTATCTTGTCTAGATTTAAGTAGTTATTATGTATTAGGGTTAGTCTGCCCAAAATGCCTCAGCATGATAGTGACCTTTGTACTTAACAAACCAAAATTGTAATTACACATTGTAACCTTTACAAAGAAATAAATCTTATTCTTTTATTCTTTTAAGTTTATTTTGTACTAGTACACATAAGTACAATTTTTATATATATAAATTACCTAGGGTCACCCCAAAAATAAAAGTCAGTCAAAGTGCTAATTTCTATTGTGTCTGTACACGTTTGGGTAGCACACTCAGCTCGCACAATGAATCCTGGGGTCGATCCATGTTATGGATGGAAACATTACGCGTTTCTTTAAGACACCTGGGCATTAGTCACCTTACACCTTCTGTCACTATTCACCTAGCAGTAAAATAGGTACCTTGGTGTTAGTCATCGACTGGTGCGAGTCGCATCCTGGGACAATTATTATTATTACAATCAAGGGGGAAGCGCTAAACCCGGAGGATTATACAGCGCCTGGGGGGGGGATGTGAAAGGCATTCAGGCTTAATTTGGGGAACTGGAGCACAGATCCAATTCCCTAAATCAAGAGCCCCTCACCAACATCAAGGAACCTTCCTTGAGGGGATCCTGGGACAAAATTATCCTAAGTTGCAGGAAATATTCAGCATAACAAGCAGCTTTCTATATAGTAGCTATGGTCTGTATACCTTGTACATATACTTGTAGAAATATTATTATTATTATAATCAAAAAGAAGCGCTAAGGGCTATACAGCACTTGTAAAAATAAAGATTACTGGGGTCTTTAATGCATTATTTCTCAAAAGGATGTTATATCCTTATTAACCCAGTATATATAAACACACTTTAATAACCATTATTATTATTATTATTATAATCAAGGGGGAAGCGCTAAACCCGGAGGATTATACAGCGCCTGGGGGGGGAGGATGTGGAAGGCATTCAGGCTTAATTCGGGGAACTGGAGCACAGATCCAATTCCCTAAATCAAGAGCCCCTCACCAACATCAAGGAACCTTCCTTGAGGGGACTTTAATAACCAAAGCTTACCTAGTCTTAATTTCTACTTCAACATTATGGATCCCATTAGAAATGTCACAATTTTTTTGGGTTATCCCAGGTAATCTACACATATACTGCTATGTATGACAATGTGACTGGAAATAAGGATCCCAATGGAAATAAGTAAAGGACCCCAATGGAAATAAGTCACTTTATCAGACTTATTTTTGTGTTATCCCAGGTTGTCTACACATATACTGCTATGTATGATAATATATGTAACTGTATTTGAGTATACCTGAATAAACTTACTTATTAAAGGTTTACTTGGTGAGGTTACATGTAGTTTACCAGGCAGTAGTTACATTGTTAGTGACGTCAGTCTTGATGGTCATCACAATTAATAATGTACTGAACCATGATTCCCACTTTCTTCCCAAAGAATAAATAAATATTAAAGATTTTATTTCTTTACAAAGGTTACAATGTGTAATTACAATTTTGATTTAAGTACAGAGATAACTGCTATTATGCAGGGGCATTTCGGGTAGTAAATATATAAGTACAAGTACACATAAGTACAATTATCAGACGTAGTGTAAATTACCTACAATAACCCCAAAAAAATTCACAGTGACTTATATAAGTTTATTTAGGCACAGGTACACAATTACAATTATCATACATAGTGTAAATTACCCAGGATAATAAAATGTCAGACAATGTGACTTATATAAGTAAGTTTATTTAGGTACAGGTACACATAAGTACAATTATTATACATAGTGTAAATTACCTAAGGTAACCCCTCCCCCCCCCCCAAAAAAAAAAAGTCAAAGTGACTTATTTCCATTGTGGTCTTTGAATCTATTACACAGCTTTAAGAATAGATCTTATAGTTCTCACGCAACCAGGAGAGTGAACCTAATAGCAGCCAGCAGAGAGAGGGGGCCAGGAGCTGTGTCTCGGCTCCTGTAATCACAATTACATGAATTAAATGATTAAGCACCCAACCCGAGTCAGTAACCGACTTTCGCAATGCCGTACAAATCTCTAGAAAGGAAATAATAATAATAATAATAATAATAATATCTTTATTTCTACAAGTACATGTACAAGGTATACAGACCACAGCTGATATCAATGACATACTACTATATAGAAAGCCCCTTGTTATACTGAGCATTTCGGGAAAATTAGGTCAGTTTTGTCCCAGGATGCGACCCACACCAGTCCACTAACATCCAGGTACCTAATTTATACTGATGGGTGAACAGGGACAGTAGGTGTAAGGAAACCCGTCCAATGTTTCCATCCCTTCGCCGGGAATCGAACCCAGACCCTTACCGTGTGAAGGGAGAACTTTTGCCACCAGGCCACGGGGACTGGTGCCACTTTGAAGAGGCCATATTATGTACAGAATTTGAAGAAAACTTAGACTAGCATTCAAACTAGTTACTGTGGGGTTCTATGAGCTAGTGTTTACCACAGGGTATTGCCTGGTGGTGTAATAATTCTCTCTGAACCATTTTTTTCTCTCATTTGTAACTTGATCAAATGAATTTAACTTTTGATATGATCACAGGATATATATATATTAATTTTAATTATATATTATAATATATATATATATATATATATATATATATATATTTTAAAATATATATATTATATATATATTACACCAAGAGATTATTTCTCTAAGCATATATATGCAGAGAATAAAAAGTTAAGTGCAGCCTTAATGACCCTTATGTAGTTGTGGAAAATACTGAATATATTTTCCAGAAATTCAGTATTTATATGTATATAGATGGCCATACTGTATTTAATAATATTTATGTCATAGAAAAGGGGAAAGCCTGCGTCTGCGCAGGAGGAGACTCACCATCTTGGTTTTAAATTTTTGTACAAACGTTGGTGTAATGGGAAGAATTTTTCGTGCTCTAGAGGTTAAAATTGTGTTGACACCTCTCAAATAGGAGGCGAAATTGTTGGATGTGCATTCCTGCATAACTTGAGATATCAGACGACTGGACAAGACAGCTCCGGGAACCTCAGATAAGCTCTCTAGATTTGTGTGTAATTCTGGCCAGCATTATTTTCATAGATTTAGTTAGAGTAAGGTTTTCCGAGTATGATACACATTAATCTCCAGTCAAATTGGTGAGTGATATTAAGATATATTTTCCTTCTGTTATGTAATTGTATATATATATATATATATATATATATATATATATTATATTATATATATATATATAATATATATATATATATATATATATATATATATATATAAACCATTTATTATTTTTAATATACAGTCCACAAATTTACATATTTACCAGTTTTCCCTGGTGTATGTATATTTCATTTAATTAATAGGTCCAGAGCAACTTGTGGTTATGACAGTGGTAGGTATCGAAGGGGGACATTTTTTGCTACCTAGGTGTCCCAAATTCCTACTTGTCTATGTAACATTGTAAATAATAATTATCTTTGTTATCATTTACTGTTATGTACATAATTAGTTACATTCAGATAAATGCAATTTTCCACAGTAGTCAATACACTTTAAATCCCCATGAACCAACTTAGTATATGATGGTTAGGTTAGGTAAGGTTTGTCAGGCAACAGGACAAGTGTTTCTTGCCGCGGGTCTGAGTCATATGGCCCACAGCTGGGGCTTTTGGTCATCTGATCGAGACCTTCTACTGGCTTACCCCTCCACCCCTTTAAAAAATATGGTTAAAATTTTATATGATTGGTGGTGGTTACTTGTAGATGTCATCCCTGCAGCCGACTCCCGGACCAGGCTTCACTGACAGCCTGCTCAGTCAGGCTGCTGTAGTTTTATCAAGGATTTATCTTATGCAATACAAATTTATTTCTTTTCTGTAGTATACAAAATATAGTTTACATGAAAAAATATTGGTACACACAAAAGAAAGCCACTAGCATTCAGTGCATTTTGTACTCACCTAGTTGTGGTTGCAGGGGTCGAGTCCAGCTTCTGGCCCCACCTCTTCGCTGGCCGCTACTAGATCACTCTTCCCGCCCCATGAGCTTTATCATACCTCTTCTTGAAGCTTTGTATGCGTTTTGTAATGACTGATCGGTGATGGTTACTCAAGGACTGATGACTGTTAATGGTGAAGGGTGTACCTGATAAGGTTTGTCACAGGAGGGGTCCCGTAAGTGACTTTAAGTCTACATAACTTAAAAATTTTGGGTCTACTACTACTGTTGCGAGGGGGCCCCCATAACGGGGGGCTCCAAAAATATAGGGCCGCCACTGGGTTTGTGAGAGGGATAATATGAGGCAAGATATGGTCATAATAATAATAATTAAAACACTCAGCACCAGTAAAAATTCACAAGAGTCGAGGCGCAGACATTGCATCAGCAGTATGGTCGTCTAGCCGCTGCTGTCAGCTAACAGTCAGGTAACAGCTAACCTCTTATCAGCTCAGTCAGCACATGTAGAGTTTATGTGGTCCTGGAGGTGACCAGTGGACATCACTCTCCTCTGGAACACTCGCCACTCCACTAGTTACAATTCACTCTTCTAGTAAGTACATCAGAACCTCCAAATATAATCAGACTGTTCCTGATTATCTTAACTTACTACTTTCAATTTAAATATTCCAAAAGGATAGTATATAATCGACAATTGAAATGCTAAAAAAAATGTATTATAAACATAACGAAATGTTAATAAAACAAATGTGTAGTGCTAGGATAATACTGTGGAAATGTTGCACCAGAAGACGAAATGATCCTCCTGTAGCTGATGAGCTTGAAGCCCAGTTAACCAACCAACTCAGTTTTATCATTCCTGACCAGATCCTCGACGTAGCCAACACGACTTCCACCATAATTAATGTTGCTCTTGTTAACGATGTTGGTAGCTACTTGGTCGACTGGAAGAGCAATAAATCTCATAAGCAAACATTCCTCCCTGATAAGATACAAAGGAAACTGCAGAAAAGCAGTACTGGAAATCCTAAATGCCCTAACATAGAAACCAGTGATCACCCATCCCTTAGTTCTCATGTCATGGTATGATAGTTACCGCAACAAATACCTGGAGAGGGTTTCGGGGGGTCAACGCCCCGCGGCCGGTCTGTGACCAGGCCTCATGGTGGATCAGGGCCTGATCATTAATGCAGAGTAAGAGGACATCAAGAAGGACAACTACATGATAACCACCTGGTGGTTCACAATTACACTCACCCACTGACTATAAACCCAGAAATACTAATCTTAATCTTAAAATAATAAATCCTAACTAGTCATAAGTTTGCCTATGATACTCCAATATAGACACTTTGTATTGTGCCAAAACAAAAGCATTCACATTGCTAAACTCACAAATTATGATGTAGTCACTAAGCCTTAATACCATAATCTGTAAGTATTTAATGTTAAGAATTAATCTAAGTCTGCTCGAAATGCCTAGCCAGGCTAGGTGTCCTAGTGGCCCCCTCTGTAATTAATATTTTATAACATGTAAACCACACAATACCCAAAACCTGTAAACTCCACATTGTAACCCTTTTAGAGAATAAACTTGAATTGAATTTAATTTAATTTAATTTAATTGAAAAAAAAACAAGCGCTAAACCCAAGGAAGGAACGCCGATCATCCTGTTCCTCCTCGTCAGTAAATTTAATGGAAAGTTCCATAGAGTAAAGCTTATAGTGTAGATTGGTTATATTGAGTCATCCTGGTATAGTTACTAACATCATAAAAACAGCCATGTTACATTTCTCAGAATGATGGATTTACAATGTCCCTCCAGGTGCTCTATGTACAAACTGACCTAGACAGCAATGATGGGTGAACCCATGGCCATCATAAAGCACCGTACACACAGTTGCCATAGATAAAACAACTGAAATTGACACAATTCAGTCAGGTCGACAAAAATATGTGACTGTAATGGAAGATCTATGTCATCAGTAACTTTTCAGCAGAGTACGGCAATGGCTTGCAAGATGTAACATCAAAACTAAGCGAGCTTCTTGTTCCTGATAACAATGAAACATACGTATATGTGGTTGATGAAGTCCCGTACCATTTCCACAGTGAATACCCTAGTACTACTATATAAAAACTACACGTATATGTAATTACATCTCGTCTGTCAAAGCTACAAACGTCATACAAGATTATTATTATTATTCCCTGAACTGAGAGTCGCTCAACAGCACTGAGGCACCTTCCTTAAAGGGATTATTATAATAAGTCTAAATTTTCCTAGGCAGGATGCGATGGTTGGTTGTATGTACACTGCTGCTGACCACCACGGCAGCCAGGGCTAACTTTGTAAGTTTAATATTTCTCATTTCAACTTTATTTTGACATTTTCCTCATACATTTTGTGCTATAATATACAAATTTTGGAGCATAAAAAAGAAAGAATTGCATTTAAATTCTTATTACTCTTCAATAATATACTTGAATTTACAGTTTTCCCATTGAATGTAGTGATTCCCCCCCCCCCGAAAAAAAAAACTGATCACCCGATTATTGGTAAAAAAAAAAAAAGTAACAACTAACTGATACGTAATTACGCCTTTGCATCTTTACGATCTGAGCTATTCTCTGGGTGCCCCATTTTAATTATTTCATTATATATTGATTTCCATGGAATGGTATGATATTGCTGGCAGTTGGACGAGTTGTGGGAGCATCTGATGGATATCTTCAGGACTTTTGAGTCAGTACCTTACAAGGTTACCAGGACAGCTCCTGTGAGTTTTCTGCATTTGTTTTATTTATCATTCTTGATATAAAGCCAAGAAGTCTTTATCAGTTTTATTGAAAGTATTTTCGTACCGTTGTCTTGACTTCAGATCTCTGATAACCAGAGCTTTTAAGTTTATATAAGAATAATAGTGGCTTAACGCTTCTTTTTGATAATAATAATAATAATAATAATAATAATAATAATAATAATAATAATAATAATAATAATAATAATAATAATATAAGAATAATAACAATATCTTTATTTACTACAAGTACATGTATGAAGTATACAGATCATAGCAGACATCAGTGACATATGTGGAAAATTGCATTTATCTGAATGTATCATTAAATACATAACAGTAAATGAACAAAGATAATTATTATTTATCAGTTAGACAAGTAGGAATTTGGGACACCTAGGTCGCAAAAAATGTCCCCCTTCGATACCTACCTCTGTCATATCCACAAGTTGCTCTGGACCCATTAATTACAAACGAAATATATATCACGAGGAATGCTGGTAAATATATAAATTTGTGGACTGTATATTAAAATTAATAAATGATTATATATATATACACATTTATATAACAGGAAAATATATCTTAATCATAACACTCACCAATTTGACTGGAGATTAATGTGTCATGCTCAGAAAACCTCACTGTCTACATTTATGATAATAATACTGGCCAGAACTATAAACATAATATAGACATGACTTAGCTGGGGTTCCTGGAGCTGTCTTGTCCAGTCGCCTGATATCTCAAGTTATGCAGGAATGCACATCCAACAATTTCGTCTCCTATTTGAGAGGTGTCAGCCCAATTTTAACCTCTAGAGTACGAAAATTCTTCACATTATTAATTAACGTCTGTTCAATTCAAACAGCAATGGCGAGTGTCCTCCTGCGCAGGCGCAGCTTCTTCTCATTTTCAATAATATAATTTTTAAATACAGTATGGCCATCTATTTACATATAACTACTGTATTTCTGGAAAATATATACAGTATTTTCCACAACATATAACTATATAGAAAGCTGCTTGTTATGCTGATCATTTCCCGCAAATTAGGTCAATTTTGTCCCCAGGATGCGACCCACACCAGTCCCTAACACCCCGGACCTATTTTTG